TTAACACACCTGATTATTGAGAAGCGCACGGTAGCACTTGACTCCAAGGTGGACGCTTTCGCAAATGGAGGCCGATGATGCAGAGGACGGATCCTTTCCAGTAGAACGGTGACGATTATCTAGACTACCACTTCGATCACCACTACTAGGCTTCCTGCGACCGCGTCGGTGGCAAAAGAACCCCGATGATATTATCTCTTCATCATAGTCTGCAATTTGACAGTCCACTGCGCTCCTATCTTCATCCAATCCAGAAGTGCTGTGCATGCAGTTCCGACGTCTGCAGACACAGGGTGGCAGAATGGCATGACTGAGAATAGAAAAAGTAAATAGATTTGTTAGTCAAGTTAGATGAGGCTTTCGCAGTAGGTCAGCTGGATCGGTCAGCCAACCAGAGTTTGGCGTGAAAGGAAAGCGCCCGCGAGTTAGCTGGAATCAGACCCATGCATACTTACAGAGAGGTTGAAGAGGACGGTGAAACTGTGACGGCGTGTTTTTGGAGGTGTCTTTTTGAATGGGGGAGAAGACCGTGAACAATGACAAAAAAAGGGAAACGGTAAGGAATGAGAATAATACCTGAGCATATTTCGGACAGTCTTGGACATATACTCCTGTAGAGCTTGTAGCCCTCCCTTGTCAAGAAACTCGTAGACCCACCTGAGATAAAAAAACTTAGTCTCTTCAGATATCGGTTGACGTACGAGACATTGTTAGTTCGAAGGGAGATCTCCGTGGAGGTTAGGACCTCGCGTGCTGCCTGGAGAGTATTCTTCCGTGACTAGATTGGGCATAAATCAGAGAAGTCGCCTTTAAACACTCACTTTGGTAAGAGTACCACGATAGTTGCGCAGACCCTTGATCAGTGTTACATAGTGATAAGCAGAGTGTTTCGAGGTTTTGACTGCCTAGCGAAGAGTATGAGAATGGGCGAGCGGACTCACATAGGACTCGATGAGCTGTCTTTTTTGATCCTCTGGAAGCTGTTCGATGTTCTTTGCTTTGTCCGGGTCGACATCGAGAGATTGAATAAAACTATTCCACACAGATAAGTCCTCAGTAGTCATTTTTCAATTACCGCATTTCTGTAAAATAAGTTACGTAAAGCACTGTAGAAGAGTCATGAATAGTAAGCGACTAATGGTACTCGATGAAAATTGAACCACATGAGCATGCAAAATTGACCATATAATTGCAAAACAAGACATTATCTACCATAAAATCTACTAAATGCTTTAAAATAAACCCAACGGAATCTGCTAACAAAGTGTGAGAGTTAAGAAGTAACTGAAAAACCCTACCCAAATTATCTGCTCATAAAGATACAGAAATAATACACACGCAAACGATTAAAAGGGTTTTCTTAAATGACTAGTTGTGAAATAGTCGTGTGTTAATTAACTAGTTAACAGAACACAAGAAGGTATACACCGGTTAAAAGGACCGGCTATGGGAAAGAAGCCGTACTGTGAATTAGGAGTAAAAAACCTACATGTGAAATACCAACAAAATCTGATTTGAATAGCGTTATGCCAATACAATTTGCCGTTAGCAAGTTAAAGTAGGTGGGGTTGAGGATCTAAGTCATGACTGGCCCAAAATCACATAGTAATGCAGCATGCTAGATAAAGATATATAATCTGAATAAATGTAGATGAACAGCTGCAGCACAACCAAGCACAAACCCCACTGACCAAATTGATGCAAATACCGAGAAGAATTGAAAAACAGCTAAGGTCTACGATCCATTAAAACAAAAAAGCTTGCCAAACAGGAAAGCTTATAGCTAAACTAAGCCACTTTCTGAGTCAAGGCTATAAACGTTAGCTTTTATTTAGATAGTAGCTAATTTTAGTCTTTCATAATAACAGTATTTAGTTCTGTTCACCTCTTTCAAACCGCCATCGTATTTCATAAAGGAGGCGTATAGTTTTCAGTAGAATTACCTGTAATTGTGGTGTCTGTCGTTTTGTGTAAGTTTTAATTGGGCCAAGATGGTGGAAAAGAACAAGTACCACCGACAAAAAGTTTTGGTATGCTGCTAAGATGTCTCGATTTTCATAAAGCATGGTGCGACTATAATCCACAAAAATTGCTGTACCTATATAAAGGGCCAAAATGTGCCTCTTTGCTCACAGTCTTAACACCGGTCGTTAATGCAGTACTTTTCATGCGTCAGCCAGCAACTGTTTTATTTTCAAAAAACTAGGAGCTTTTGCGTTATAAAATACATACTTCGCCTTTTTTATCTCTGTTTTTCAAACTTTTGCGCGTTTTTGGTTTGTTTTCTACTTCTTCTTTATGCGTGTTTAAGTTACTTTCGCGTTCTACCCACGGATCAATTCTCCCTCCTCGTCTTTTTTGGCATTTTTGTGTGCATAGACAGCTTATGGATGATTTCAAGAGTTTGTAGGGGGTTATATCTTGAGATTTTCTCTCCATTTATTTCTCAACTGTGCTATTTTTGTTCCATAACCCTTAATAAGTTTGCTCAAACTTCTGTGCCGATGTCATCTTCCAAGAACGAAATGGCGATCATTGGAAGTGACAAGTCCATCGACTTATCTCGTGTTGAAGCCTTCCACAGTCCAGAGTTCGTTTACATAAACAACCTTTTTCGCAAGTTTGGTTATGAAATTCGTGTTGCTGGGGGTGGTGTTCGAGACATTCTCATGAAAAAGGAACCGAAGGATATTGATTTAGCAACCACAGCAACACCCACACAGATGATTGATATGTTCACGAAAGAGGAATTGAGAATTTTAAATCGCAATGGGGAGTCTCATGGGACAGTTACTGTTCGAATCAACGATAAGGTATTATTCGATTCCCTTCATTCCTCTGATATTGATTGTCTTAAATTGGAATCGTTTGTATTCTAGGTGAACTATGAGATCACAACTCTTAGAATTGATTCAAACCAAGATGGGCGTCACGCAAATGTATCTTTTACCAAGGATTGGCAGTTAGATGCTAGCAGAAGAGACTTAACTGTCAATTCCATGTTCATCGATGTCAGCTTTGGTGATCTCGGGACAAACATTACCGGTGATGGCGCAAGATATCCCATACGTGGGAAACTTTACGACTTTTTTAACGGGTATGAGGATTTGGAACATCGGCGCATTCGATTCGTTGGTGAACCCGCGGAACGAATTAAGGAGGACTATCTTCGTATCCTTCGTTACTTCCGCTTTCACGCACGTCTTGCCACAGATCCTAACAACCATGATAAGGCTGCTTTGAAAGTATGTGGGATTTTTTCGAAAGCATCCCCTAAACTTTGAGGATTCTACCTCATCCTTTTCTCCAGGCTATCGCCGAGAATAGCAAGGGCTTGGAGAAAATCGCTGGGGAGCGAATATGGACGGAACTAAGGCTCATTTTCGGCTATCCATCTGCGCCGTCCCTGTTGCGTTATATGGCCGACACTGGCGTCACGGAGGCTTGCGGCCTGCCTGCGAAGCCGAATTTAACGGAGATGGATAGGGTCTTTGCTAGCGGTATTCTCGATCGTCACGCGAATCCTGCGACATGTGCCGCCGCTGCTTTTGGTTCTATAGATGAAGTAAGTTGTTTTTTTGTTCCCACTTCTTTGCTTTCTCTCATTTGAGCCGTTTCCCACTTTGACACTCCCTAACTTGGCATTTTACGAAGGGATCTATCTGGCTCCTCTGTTCGTTTAACTCTTATTTGTTGTATTATTAAAAGGCAAATCTTGCTTTCGATTTTTACATGGCTTAAAAAGAGCTTATACGCTAAAGTCACAGGTCTCACTTTTCTCCCATCCATCGTGATAACACCTTAGGTCTTCCACATAGAAGCCTGGATCGCCTATCAGACTGGAACTTGTACAGCTATCATGCATGTATGCATTACATTTCCCGGCTACCCGATCTCCTAATATCCCAGGGCTTTTATGCTGATTCTTTGACTTTGCGATCTTGTTCATTAATTTTTTTTAAACTAAAGTTCTACATAAGACATTTCAGAACTAGGAACAAGTCACATTGTGTGTTTTAAATTGCGGTGATGTTGCTTTGTGTTAGTTAAAGTCTAGCGACATTGGAAGTCGAATTTAGTTTATAAATAAGACTTGTCACATTTTGTATTTACATATGTACGGATACCAGGGGGTACGGTAATGGACACCGTACTATGCAAAAGTGAAACGAATTAGACGGAAAGGCACTATTCATTAGGTACTGTCACATTTCCCGACACTATCTAATAGCTGAAATGCTTGTCATGCCTACAGGTCACAAGGTAATAGCCCTTTTTGGTTTTTGTGAGTTTTCCTGTTTGCACCCCATTCGGTTGGCATTGGAAAGAATCTTGCCACTATTAATGCTGGCTAAATCTAAAAGACTGTAAAATATCGGTCTGGTGCCCTTGATTGTCTTACTTTTTTCCCAGCTAATCTGCCAATTCTGAATCCAGTTAAGCAAATATTTGATCCAGACACTTCATTCATCGATAGGAAACTACTGAGTAATTAATAGATATCTTTAAACCCTTTTTTGCGCTGTCACGTTAGGTGGACACACTGATTCAAAGAATTCGTCCTTCCATCCTGGAGCAGAACATTCTCCACTTCCTTGTCGAATGGAGACAGTCTCTGTCAGCCGATGGCAACATCATCGAACGCCTGCAGCGCGAATATCTTCTCTCCCTCGACCAGACTCGATTAAAACCCATCTTTACCGAAGCAGTACGCTACCTCTGCACCTCCGACGACCTTGACGCCTGGTTGGCTTGGGAAGCACCTCGCTTTCCTCTCAACGGTATCATAGTGACCGAGAAGTGGGGCGTCAAGGGTCGACAACTGCGACCGGTTTTGCAGGGTCTTCGGAAGATCTGGGTGGAATCAGGATGCATCATGGAAAAGGAGGCATTGCTGGATGCGGGGGTTTTCCAGAAGGTGTCGCAGATGCCGCCAGAGGAGGTTGAGAGGAATCCTATTGTTCCCGCTAAACGACGAAAGCGGTAGCTTTGGAGGAAGACAGCTTTCTTTCTACGCCGTCATGATTGTAATTATATGTAGTTGATATATATCTCTTTCACTTGATTCTCTGTTTTGGTTTGGTTTCGGTGGGTTAATTGGTGTTGGACTTTTGAAGCTGGACCGATTGTTTTGAAATTTGCCAACTGGAATGCACTCCAGCCCTGCAAATATGCAAATTTAATATCGTGCTCGTATTTTGTGGTAATGATTCGACTTGCTAAACGTGGTCCCAGTTGGCCCACTACATAAGTGGATTTACTTTCAAGTACTAGGAGGGAGTCTCCTCTTTACCAACTTACGGTTAGAAGTTAGGGCCAAAGCCTCTGTTGGATGGAATCTGTCTGAGTTCCGTTTATCACCTGTAACCGTGGGAAAGTGTGGTCCTCTTACTTTAAAGTCGGGTGCGGAGGAGGTGGCTCGGTGGACTTTTGCGACGTTTGGATTCTCGTTTGTAAGGTGGAAACCGGCTAAGTTATTGCTCACAAAGAGTTCGTATAATTAAGACGTTTCGGTGTTTACTTACATGATTTGGGAAGACGGATTGAAGCGTAGCGCTTCGTTTACTGAAGTAAGTGAGTAGCTTTACTTGTGAAGCAAATTTTGTGCATCAGTTTTATTTAAATATCTCATTTGTCAAGATTTACGCAGAGACTTGAGTGTCGGTATTCGATTTAGATTTGTAATTTTCCGAAATTTCTGCTCTGACAATGAATATTTGTTTGTTGATGTAGGCATTTCAAAATCCTTGCTCATTCATTGAAGAATGTGTGAGAAATTGCGCCAGGATGCGGATTTTTCAAGTAGTTCTATAGTTCTTTTTATGGTTTTAACATCAACTAATTGTTTCACACATTGACTTCAATCAAAATTAAAAAACACCTTCGGCGCTCTAATTCACTCCTAAATGTGACGCTAACACGGATTATGGTAGGGAAGTGAAGTTTTGCATATTTGCAGAATGCTGGGAGCAGCTCATCGTATCGCCGATGTAGCGGAATCACTCATTCACAAAGGCCCTAATTCCCCTTAAAATTTATATCCTTCTGCTGATGAAGCAGCCTCCCTGATTGGGTCAAATTGCTGACCATTTTTTATGCTCTGATGCCTGAGGAGGATAAACAGGGCCAAACCTAACAGCATAAAATCTTTGTCCGTGTACCTACAAATTCTATGCTTTGTTGTACATCATTTCATCGGTATGTGACACACTCATGTGACATTATTTCATGGTATCGATGAGCTGTCAGTCTCATACAGTCCTGTTGTGCTCCGGGTTGATTGCGCCACCGCTGGAAAACACACTCCAGTCCTTTGTTCTGTTAAATTTCCATTAAAAATTCGAAAAAAAAAACAATCCTTTGCAACGCAGAGGAGCTCGCCTGCAGGACCTGAGGCTTAGATTTTGAGGAATGATCAAGAAATTTTTCTGGGAAAAAAATTACTACTTTAAAATTGGCAGTACTGCTTTTATGGTTGCCTTTGGATCGGAGCACCAAGAGGTGGATGGATTCACTGTCAGCAAAATCCAGAGTTGAAACGCCAACAATTTAAAAAGATGCCAAGGCTCAGGACTGTCTTCAGTTCGGATTTTTAAAAGTAGCTACCTGGTTACTTATTCGCCTACTTTTTTCTGATCTAATCCAATCTTTAAATTGTATAATGTGCGAATTAAAAGTGGCTAACAATTTCAGCGTACTTTCTGGGTATGAGAAGTTTCCGTAACTAGTATCCTCCGTTTGCCGGATATATAGTGGTGAATATGATTTAAACTGTCATCCTGGGGTTTTCTAATGGCAATTGGCTTAAATTTCTTCATTAATTTTGTGGAATTCCTGCCCTTTCTTTACTTATAGATATCCCAAAAAGATAAATAACGGTAGCGTTTTTCTTAATAGGTTGGAGGAGTTTTGCAAAGAATCGGGAATCTTTCACTATTGTCATCTCCTTTAATCATTTTCAACCTTGAAAATAGAAATTTACAAAAGTGTAGAAGTTTTGTAGTGATGGAAATGTGTGTCTATCTCAGGATTTCGACCCATCTCCTCTTTCTCAATGCAGCATGTCTCCAGCTTAAATGAATTGGGAGAAATGTAGGCGTTTAAATGTATCCACATACAAAGCGCAAATTAGCTCCTTGGTTGGTTGATATTCGCATAATTTACAAGATGAGTTATGCGATTAACTGGGGCGAAACAATTAATGAGGTTCCGCTTTTTTGTTATGGCCTTTTTTCTTCTTGTTGGTGTTTTCATTTTAGTCAATGGTCGGCGAAGAAGCCTAGATGGCTTGGTATTAGGGTTGGCAACGATTAGTTTCCACATTTCATCATAAGTGAAAGCCTATACTGGTCAATCTGTACTACTCATTAACCGAAGAGTTTATCGAATGTTACTGTCGGTTGTCAGTGATCGTTTGCTCAAATATCATGAGGCTGAAGGCAATAGCTCTAGTTGGAAGAGAGACCACCAAGCAGGCACTGTTATCTTCCGACTCCGTTAACCATTTGGTCGCAAGATTTGTGTTTCGGGATGTGTTTGCAGAAGTAACTCTGAGATTCAGTCAAAGGAGAAAAGCCGAAAAATGCATGCAGTTTAACCGCCTGTGCTTTTCTCAATGCATTAGCGCTTGTAAACATTACTTGTTTCTAAGTACTATTTTAAATACCCAATGAAGATGATCGATGTGAACCAATGTGGAGTTGAAAAGAGTAGCTTCCTCAATCTCTTTGTAACTACTACATTATTGGGGAGCTTAGTTACGGAAAAAATGCAACACAACTCATACCGCCAGTCAGTCCAGCATTGGAATGGGGCTGGACTGTGCCTTAACTGAATGGGGCGAGTCTTCATTCCACGTGTCCACTGTAATGCGTAAGGTGCATTTAGGAGAAAATTAGCAAAACCCGAGGTTATCAAAACATCTTTTCCACGTGTGAAGATTCATGCATCGTGGGGAAACGACCCATTGAGTAAATGCACGATACAAATTGTTGGCTTAAATATCCGCCTTTAGTTGCATGCTCGAAAATGATGGCTCTCCAAGGCATTCGCGACAGTGGGAGACAGTAGAAGGAGCGCCAAATGCATTTTGCATTAATTCAAGTAGTCGCCATCGGAATGGGCCCAAAGCCGAGGCAACTCAGCATTTGAAGGCAGTATTGAATGTATCGGTCTGGAGGTATGTGATAGCTGAATGGCTAGAGGTGCGGAGGAAAAGACCGAAAGTGTCCGTGCAACAGTGTCGATATTTTTTGCTAAAAATTGATATGATTTCCTGGGATATTTTATTCACTAATGCTCATCATTGCAATCTAAAATCTAATTCTCTTCCAAACCTGCTGCAAACTGTACTTTTGTAAAATGTTCCATTTTACTTCTCACCCGTTCAATTCGCGTGATCAGCCTGCATCTGTATAGGGTGAAGTACAAAGGGTGAAGTGAAGAAATGCCTCCCAGCAGTTTCGAACCGCGGTAATATGAGATCTCGAAAGTGAGTTTACGGTCTTATAACCACCAAGCCTGTAGACGCTGACCGTACCTCCCTTGCGTACTCAGTACGTCTGTCGATAAAGAAACCCGTGGTTTCAAAATCATCACTTTCGGTTCGAAATTCTACGGAATTCCACTGTAAAAGGCACTTTTTTCCGGATTTTGATAATGTATGAACAACAATGGTGACAGTCAATCGCGATGCTTTACTCCTCATTTTACGGTAAGTCGGTGAACTTTTCAGGGTATTCATGCAACTGTGAGACTCTATGAGAGAGTCTCAAAGGTCGTCAGATGACTTACATACAGGAGACAAGAGCCTGAGTCAACATTCAAAATATTTGTGAAAAAGTGAAACTGTGTTAAATATAGGAGTGGCTTGATAAGTGCCTCATAAGGCAATCCCAGGTTTGTGTGATCGCATTCGTAATGCAAACAAAGAAGGATTCCACACTTTTGTTGGAGTTAGAAGGGATTCCTTGAAGCCTAGTCAAACTTCAGCAAAACCAAACATTAATGCAGGCTCATTTTAACGAATCTTACAAGATCAAAGATCAAAAATAAACTGAAAGTTAAATTTGTGTTCTAAGAAACCGTTCAACTGTTTCACCTATTGGCATAGTTCCACACCCTATGGATGTGACGTATCAGTTGCTAAGATGTTGAGAGTTGAGGTTATGTCAAGAAACGGTGTTAGTCAAAATCTTTTGTAGTCGATCCGTCTTTGTTTAGTTTCTAGTAAATGAACACCACTTTCAGGTAGAAAGCACCTCAATCATGTCAAGAGCATGGGCGCCTAAACTTATCAGTCAAAGCATGTGGGAGATTCGACAGACAATCTCAATTGTTCAGCAGGTTTGAGCTCTCCGATTTTTTATAAACGGGCAGAAATTCAAATTAATAATGAATATATATATACATAATGAGGGAATATAAGTGGATCACTTAGCTCGAATGTCAATAAAAATCCCAAGAACAAATAGACAGGTGTGCTCTAAGACAATGCTCTTCAATAGCGTTTCCTTTGACGAGAAATTGGTGCGTGCCTGGGCGGAAGAGTAGTACGAGGCTGGGACGTAAGTGCTAGAAGTGGTAGCATCACGAGAGCAAATCAGATGCGTTCGGAGCAGCATATAAGGCAAGGCGACTCGTTTCTCAGGGCAATCGAGTTTAAGCAGGAAAAATGGTAATGCAGCAAGGCCAGCCCGAAATTACCGAAGCAGACGTCGTCGATTTGGTCTACCTTCTCTCAAAGCGAATCGACCCAAAGTTGGCCCGCTACATAGAGAAATGGAAAGGGGGAGAGCCCAGAATTTGCATCAAAAATAGGGATAAGTCGAAAGTCAAGACTGGATTTTGTCCTGTGGAAAGGACACTACCCACGTGTGTGTCGAAGCCTTCCATGAGGGCGGCATCTACGTTTGTGCCGACGTGCAAGACCGCGTCGTTCCCTGTAGCAAAGTCAGAAACGAAGTCTCTGCCGAAGCCCACGCCCAGTTGCAAGCTGAGGTCCAAGCACTACCTGTAGATCCTGCTGTCGATGGTCATGACCTGACCAAATGGCTATTCTGCACACAAATGTGATGCAGGGCATGGCCCATCATTCTAACTTATTCTTTGATAAATGTTTTTTTTTTGCAAAACCACCTCCTATTTTCACGCGGGCTGGAAAGAGTATGACCTTGAAAAGCTTAATGCCTGAAGCCGTTCTTTTAAATTTGACATCGCTGTGTGATATTTCCAACGCTTTTGAATGTTTTGGGTGTGATTAAAATCGTTCACTCGCGTTTGGAAGTTTGTCGTTTTAATAATTAAGCTTATCAGGAAAATGTTTCTTGGTAAAAGGCTCCGAAACCTAGATTTGTTCATCCACAAGTAAACGGCAAGTGGAGTGCTGGCGAAGTGAGTTAGTCTGCAGTTAATTTCTTGAATTAGCTGAGTGTTTCAAGGGATACATGCCTTGGTGATGGAGGTGGGAGAAAGTGTGTATTCTTCAAAGCCACCTGTTTAAATGAGTTTGCCACGTTTAATTCACATTTTGTTTCAGTGGTGAACGAAAATGCTAACTGGCGTTCAATGTCTGCAGATTCAATCGCTCACGACGGTTGCCTTCCTTCTCTGCCATATTTGCGTAGTAGTCAACGGATTCACTCGAACCAACTTCGGAAGACTAGTGAAAGTAATTACATTCTACAGGAAGTATGGTACACATCTAGTCACTGATCCAGTGTATGGAGGAGTTATAGAAACCATACAGAAGTAGAAACCTAACTAGATGAAGAAAAAAGTGGGTAAATGCTATAGTTATGGAATCTTGGCTAGATGTTTAATTACACGAGCTCTTCAGTCTCCATAGGCTGTCATCAATGTTTCTCCATACGACTTTTTACGGCTCACTACGTCCTAGGAGAAGGGTAGAGAGGTTACGGCTAAAACACTTGAGAGTGGGGACATGAAGCCTATTTATGCGGCCCATAACAAGATCTACCATGCTGCAGAAAAATGAATCATTGGATTTGATAGGTAGTTCGGCAGCAAGTCCTCTCCTCTGAATGCCAAATTCACGTACCATTGTAGCACTATGGCACAACTTTCATAGCCATCGGTGATGCCGCCCTCTCAACTGCTGAAAATTTGGTCTCGGAAAGACTATCGGTGCTCTGTTGATAAGGGCTCGGGCGAATACATTAGAAGAGTGTCGAAGAGTTTCAAAGTCAGCTATTTCACTCTACTTGGGATATTTAGATTTGTTTGCTTATTTTTTTGCCAGACCAGCTCAGCCATGACCTAGTGACCCATCTTACGATAACCTTGTGATATGCCCACTGGGCATCGTAAAGGGGCACCATGCCGTTGTACAATTTGCTGAATATTCATTTTAAGTCGGTCCCCGTGCAGCGCACCACTGTTACTCCAACCGCCTAAAAACTCTTTGGCTTTGCTGTATTCGGGGAAAAATAGAGTAGAAAAATATGGTGTACAGCTCATCCAGCTATCCGGTTCTCTAATAGTTGAGCATTGTCAGGTGCTTGCTTCACTGTTCAAACGTACCGTTTATTAGGCTCTCTAATTGTTCATTAAGGATTGCTTCAATGATGTACTGGAAGAAGCATACTTAAAGTGTTGATGCTGGCGCCACCTTATGGTGGCTAAAAACAGCCGAATTGGTGAGGCAACAGACTTATTGACTGCCAGCTAAAATAGCTGGAAAAAAACTAACTCTTACAATGCTCACTTGTCTACTGGGTGAAATATGATAAGCCTGTACCACCTACAATGCCAACCGGGGCCTTCAATGTATCTCACTGCTCGTAAAACTGCAGATCTCGCTCAACCTTTGTATAGCCCACTAGCCCTAATGGAAAATCGGTAAAAGTGCCGGTGAAAGTAGGCACACCGAGGGTACTCGACCACTAAGTAGTGAAAAAGTGCTTGAAATAAGTGAAAACATCAGCAGCATGCTGTTTGAAGAATTGATAAGATGCGAGTTCGCAATACTCGTATCTGAGTGAAATGCGAAACCGACTCCACAGTTGCACCAATTATTTTTGGCGGTTTTAAAAGGTTACAAGCTCACTAGTTGGATGAGTGCAGTGGTTTGATATTTAGCCTAACTGTGTGCTTAACCACGAGGGTACTTGAGCCTCTGCAGGCTGTACTTCCACTCCCGGACCTTCTCTTACCTCGACTAACGAAGACCGATGACGGGATGTTATGTAAAAATTTTAATGTTCAGGTGGTTCTTTACAACACAACATATCATTATTGTGCATTGGTTAGTGTATAGTGAATTTCATTTACATTTTAACATGACCTATGAAGGTGGATTTCACGCAAGTTTGTTCAGCAGCTGAAATTGTGGCATTTTAAGCAACGTATGACCACTAGCACATATTCCAGCATCTCTGAAAAGTGCAAATGATACGGCAATGTTTAGTCCCGCATCGAAAAAAAAAAAACACTGAAAAATAGTTAAGCATAGACTGATTGAAAGGAGTATGTTTCTATATTTGATGATTAGTAGACATCGGGGGGAGGGAAGGCGATTCGCATCGAAACTAAAAGACTAGACCCGGAGTAGTCACCACGACTGCGATTAGAAGCCTGTCTGTACAAGCACTAGGGGTATTTAAAGGGCAACAAATAATCAGTTTGCCGGTTTTGTCCTCTTGGTGATTGCATAACTCCATCAGATCACGACGTGTCAGCTAACGATTACGAGAAAATTCTAACGGAGAGGCATAGACGGCTGAAATTTTGGTAAAATATCCGCACAAGTACTAGTTGTTTCAAAGGTAGATCAGATAAGAACACGCGACCGACAGCGGTGGAAGCAGGAGTCGGAATGGTAAAGTACATCACGTACAGAAATCAGATGACGCTGGTGTACTATATGAAGTCAAATGATATGCATCTTCACATCAAAAATTCCAGACAAAAATTAAGGAGATAGAAATAGAGGTAGTAAAACTTCCTCAAAATCACATCTGCTGGTGCAGAAAAGGAAAAGTGAATAGAAGTAAAATTGGACTTGAGAGAATCAGGCAGGAAGGCACATGGAGGGCATGGATAATTCAAACAAAAATAGGGGCAACGACAAGATTTAAAGAAAGTGACAGGGGAGATCACAGATTTTCACCACCCAAAAGCCTCTTGAGTCAATTTTTAAGATCAATCACTATAGCAAAGCCTTGACCCAGGCCTGGGGGCAGTCGAGGCCTTCGCCGCTGGGAGAGCAGGCGTCCGAGATAAGGCAGAAACCAGGACCGAAGCCACCACCTACGACTGGCATTTCCTAAGCCAAAGTTGCAGTTTGAAAGCACGAGTCAGGCTTGACTCACGGCTAAAACTAGCGGCAGAGGCCGACACCGAGCCAAAGCCACTAAAACCTCTTTCCAAAGCCTCAGCCAAAAGTGCAGACTACTAGAACATGCCAACAAAAAGTATCCACAGGTAAGAAAAAAGCCACGCAAAGAATAGCAAAGGCAACTCAAAGTCCCGCAAAATAAGAACAAGGTTGACAGAGAAATATAATCACAAAACAAAAAAAGACTGAACAAAAAGAAACATTTAGTCCACCTCTTCAATAGTGGGACCACGGCCTCCACAGCCCGCATCACCACTCATACCACCAGCCATGCCGCCTGGCATTCT